TATAAGCGTTGTTCGCACGGCATCAATACGAGTAGGTATTTAACTTTTGTCGTGCCTTGCTGGAAGCATTACCAAATACTGATACACAGGGCACAGTTCAGCTGACTATCTATTCAGTGGTTCGATCTACCCGTACGGCGATTTAGGGACTTCGAACAACACTTGCCTTTGATGGTGTGTATTCCAAAACTAATGTTGGACACTAGACGTTTCAAACTGTCCTGTGTTTCAAGCCGGAGAGTTCATCAGCTATCGAAACATGTCATCGGTAAATTCGAGTTTGGTTATATGGAAACTTGGTTTAATCCGATCACCGCGGTGTTGAACCACGATTTTCTGCAAAATTCCAGTCAACTGTCTAGGCAAATAAAACAGGAGTGATACGGAGGTCTAATAATTGTGTAGCTTAAGGTGAAATTGTAAGGTTTCTCAACGCGCACAAAACTCAGTCTTTCTTATTGTGTAGATTGATTAGTTTAGGCGAAAATCAGTCCTATGTCATGTATCTCCAAAATGATTCCTAATTGAAGGAGTATTCCAGGTTTCTTCACCACGTGAGAGCTAAAACTAAGTAGCTCATTTCAGATAGAAATACAACGTTATAGCGTTTAATAAAGAAGCGGACTTTCATTTGCATGACACAAACTAGCCGTAGTTTTTTTAATCCCAATGAAATGGCAGCCAAACTGAAATGCTACCGTCGGATAAGGTTGTTTGTTTGCTCCATACATTGGAAAACAAGGTTCTGGAAAACCAAACGTTGTCCAGCAAGACTGGTGAATAATTTGGGTATAAGCCCCTCTGTTTCGTGTCTGTTGTTTTCCCCCCTGGATTAGTAGGTTGTAGATGAGTGCACAAGGCATTAAGGTAGATTGTTTCACAGATTAAACAAGAAGTTGGGAATTAGTTAAGTAGCTGATGAAAATATTTAGCCGATTCTCTTCATTGGCTCTGCAAATTATTGTTCCGAGTGGGTAGACAATTTCCAGATATTAAGCGTGGGAAACCGTAGGCAGTAGTAGGTGGTGGTAGCCAAGAGGTTTTAATTGCTGTCACCAGGGTGCTTTGTGATCCGGAATTCGAACTCCGTCACTCAACGTTGGTGGTAGACAGCTTCGATGTTGTCCGGTTCAATACCATACCTCTGTGGTTTGCCACTCGA